TAATAAACAACGGCGATGATGGAGACCAACCACCAGCTCGACCCGAAGTCGAGAATGGGGCCGAACCGACGTAGAACCCTGTTGACCAGGAGGCGAGATGGGATGGCTCCACCACAGGTCCACAGCCCCTCTGCGCCAGACCAGCCGCCAGCTCGGCACTAAGCCGAAGATGTGGAGCTAGAGCGGAAGAGAAAAGCGGATGGAGGCAGGATGGGGGGAGGGCGGTGCTCGCGCAGTAGTGTATAGGTCCGTACATCCTGTCAGTGGATGTACGGACCGGAAGAGAAAAGCCGATGGAGGCAGGATGGGGGGGAGGGCAAAGGCCCTCCTCCGTGCAAGCACAGATGAGAACCTGCGACCTCGGCCTCGAGAGCTGCAGTGCCACCGCTGACGCGATCATGATTACAAAATTGGCTAATGCTAACCTTCTGCCCCGCGGGCTATTCAGGTAGTAGGGAACTGCACACGCATCTCTGTTTGCCCATTGTGTAGATATATATATAGCCCCTCGTTTGTTGTCCTCTTCTCCCTCTCTGCCTACGGTTTACCGGGTAGTTCTATTTGACGATATATATATGAGTCGGTGAAACTCCGACGAAACAGTTTGTCACAGCCCCTTGTTTGTTGTCCTCTTCTCTCTCTCTGCCTACGGTTTACGGGGCAGTTCTGTTTGTGACGTATGAATATGACTCGTTTGAAATCAGGGAGTAGTGAACTTCAGACGCATCTCTGATTTCCCATTGTGGTTAATCAAATGGATTAAAAAAAAAAAAAAAAAAGTTCTTTATAAAAAGTATCTATGATCTCACGTAGGCTATACCAGAGTGGCCCGGGCAAGTTGCCCGGACGGGCGGGAAAAAAAAAAAAAAAAACAATGTTGATCCTGAGGCTAGAGTTGTTCAGTTTATTTTTGTGCATCACACAGTTAGTTTTTGGATTATTATTTTTTTTAATTTGCTGGGCCCTTCGCTGCTCCTCGCTCGGCCGGCCGGGCCGGGCCGCCTGGTCAAACAAGCTGACCCGGGCGGCCCGGCTGGTAGACCAGATATTCTCACATATGTCTCAGCGTTTTTTTTCGTGTTGGTATTCAACTCACTCTTTATTCTGTATGTATGTCGTCCAAACCAAGGCCGCGAAGAGCAAGGGCCTCGCTCCACTACTCTCGACATGTGCAAAACGAGAGTGAATCTTCCACTAGAACATGGAAAGATACGCGGCCATGTTTTCCGTCTTTTGTGCATGTCGAGAGCCGTGGAGCGAGGGCCCAAAGCAAAGCAAAGGGAAAACAAACTGCTTCTGAGTTTTTTTTTTTTTTTTTTTTTTTTTTAAACAGATCATCATTCCATTAACAACCAATCGTAACTGGAGGCCGGGGACCTCACAATTCCACCCGGAGTTATCCCGGCAGCTTCAGCCGGTTTAGCTTAGGGTCCCAGCAAGCTGGGGCCTCTTTAACCATCCCACTCATAAACTTTAACAAATCATCTGAATCACTTTTAACAAAGAATTCCAATATAATAATCCTGAATGCTTCCTAAAATCTATCACTTGTTCTAACCTACCTAGGTTACTTCAGACGCCTAATTGGGGCGACCAGGCCTACACGACCTGGTGGAAACCCTGTTCCTCTGCCTCCTGGACACTCTCCTAGTGGACCACTGCGTCCCTAAAAACCGAGTGTCCTGGTTGTAGGTTCGGCACTCTATAGCCTCCCCCTTACCGACCGAGCATTTGGCAGAGCCTGGATACGCAGGGGCATATCCAGAATTGGGGATCTATGGGCTGCCCTTCAAGGATCCTGGAAACCCTTGGGGGAGATCCTACCTGCCTTACATGGTCTGTGGCACGCAGAAGAGCATTGGCATCAGCTATTACAAGCCATCCCAGATCACTGGAAACAGCTGTTGGGTCCCGAGGGGTTAGATCCTGTTGGCACATGGTATGACCCCACGACAGATGCAGAGGGTCAGAGAAGAGGCGAGCTATGGGAGGTTCAACGATTGACAGATGTTGGTTTCAGAGAAGTGCGGAAATGGAAGGAGGGAGATCAGCCAGGGTTGGTGGTCCCTGGTGGAGAAGAAACTATCAGAACATGGACGAACCCCCCACAGGTAAGGGTGGTCCAAACCGGAGGGGGACAGTGCTATCTACAAGATGGGTGGGGAGGGCTCCCCTGCGAGATGTAGCCATAGATCCGCTAGCATGGCAGTGGATTGGAGGCACAGTCTCAAGGGCTAACCCCCGAGGACTGGATCTCTCCAACATCACAGTTAACGAATCATACATGCTGGCAACCAGTAAAGGGAGGAGCCCAGCAGGAGTGGCAATAGCAAGATGGAGTGAGGTCCTCTTGGATGATCTGCAGGGGAAAGAAGAAGAGTTTCTTAATCTGTGGAGGGTTTTACTCTTTCTTTCTGATCTTAAACAAGCGAGCCTACTGTGGATGCTGTCCTTATTGGTCACGCCTTCCGCAGTCTGGCTATGCAGCAGAGGGATGGAAGTGGTACTGACATGCCCCCGCTGCTCCTGGCCGTTTGAGTCCACCAAGCACCTGTGGTGGGACTGTCCGGCCTCGAGAAGGGTGTGGAGGTGGTGGGAAGACCACTGGGTAAGGATAGGGGGACAAGGGATTGAGTGGAATGAAAGATGGGTTTTGCTGGGTTTTGAAGGGAACACACAGTCCGGGAAGAAAGGCTGGCCATACGTAGCACATGTGGCCAGGGCGGTAATCTGCTCTGTGATTTGGGCGGACAGGAACAGGGCCAGGTTTGAAGGCCGCCCCTTCTCAGACTTAGAGATCAAAGCAGGCATTAGGAGAGGGCTGAGGAGAGCGATCTGGGCTGACTGGCGCAGRAGGGCCAAGTGYGGTAAAGGATCAAGGAGGAACCTCTGGTGGTTTCTGAGATCATGGGCAAAAGGTAATCAGTTGGCAGGGGTACATACTACGCGCGGCCTGGTGATATCCAAGTGGCTGAGTA